TGCAAAGTCGAAATCGCAGTCAATTTCAGCCCGGATGAGAATTGCTTTTTAGAAGCAAGAGATTGTGCAAGCTACTGGCAACGTAAGAACTATTCATCTGATTGTGGGCAATGTCAACTACCAGTTCTTCATCACCTTAAAGGAAATAGAGTGAATAAATCTACTGATCTACTTGTAGTCTTTAAATAAGGGTGGTTATATCAAACATTGAGGCATTTTGACTTAATTTAATTTAATTTTAATTAAACAAAACTGTGTTGACTTACAACAATCAATTTATATCAATCGACTTACAGCTTAGTGAGAAAATGCGTAATATTACTAATATTATCATAAGTAGTAATAGTAATAGTAGTAATATACAAATTAGCAAATGGGTAAAAATGGATATTAACTTCTTATTAATTATTCAATAAATACTGCTTTATTTATATATTTACATGCGAATATAGGTTGCATTTTTCGAATTGTTAAAAGTGTTAAGACACTATAAGGAAACGTCCCAATCCTGAAGGTGTCTGTAAGTTATCATGACAGACGAAGCTCATGAATCGTTTAATGTGATAAAGGATTTTAAGTTGAATTTCCCCAAAATCTGATAAGTAGAGCTGACTGTTTCATTCAATTTCATTTAGCCTTGCTCCCCTAAAGGCATTCTCATCTCGGCTGAAGTGGAGCGCAGTTTCGAGCTCACCTCCAGTGGTTGCAACTAATCGCTTTTTCTATTGGCAGAGTATAGTTTGGCTCTATTTCTTATGGCATCCATTCTTGCTTTCATGAAGTTTGTCATGGAGGCACAGACAACAGCTCAGCTCAGCACAGGTTCTTGGGAGGATCACAAGACGATTGCGTAATCGCGCAATCAGCACTCGCTTTCGAATGACAACATTTCACAAATTGCTTTCAATCTACCTCCGAACTCTTCGAAATCAAACTCATGTCACAGTAGACTTCGGAACTACGAGCAAATCAGTTACACGAGGTGTATTCATTATATTTCGGAGAATGCTCGTTCAATTTGCCCATAATCATGTGAGTAGAGCTGACGTTTCCATTCAATTTCACAATGCCTCGTTTTCCCAAAAGTCATTCTCACTCCGACCGGACTTGACGGCAATTTCGTCAGAGCATTTTGTCATGCCACATTTTTCGGTGGGATTTTCGATTAAGCAAAGTTACATTTGCTATGACAATCGACTACACTACTTATTTTTCACTTATAAGTAGAGTCGCGAGACTACCTGTAAATCGAAGTTATATGAAATATATTCAACCTGTTTCCTTTAAGTGGTTGACTTCGTTTTGCTTGCTTGCTATGCTAGTTTTTGGTGCTTTGGCCACTCAAGACACCGAAAATGTATCACAAACAAAGTGTCACCTGAATTTTACCAGAAAGCATACCCTCAGCACCATGACAGTCCATCCTGGATGAGAACACCTTTTAGCAAAGCATTGCTGTGAGGAATTGAATGGAAGCGTCAACTCTACTCACCAGATTGTGGGCATGTTCAAATAGCGGTGCTCCGTCACCTTAAACCAAATGGGTTGAATACATTTGACAAAATGTGACTTTACTTGCGTTTGAAGAGGCTGGTGGAAGCAATTCGGTATTTGGCCGCTGCTCCGTCGGCGGTGACGGAGAAGAGTGGACCATTCGAGGGTGTAGAGTGGACAGAGAAGCATCAAAAGGCAACAAGTGGACAGACATGCCTACACGAAATGGAGCTGCAAGTGAACCCGCCTCGCTGTTGCCGCATTGAACGCCTTGACGACGAGCTGGAGCCAGTCGAGGCACGGGGGAGTGTTGTGAGTGTGTCTGGTGAGGAGGGGGTGCACAGCCACTCGCGAGCGACTCGAGCCCGGCTCGTCTGGTCACCATCGCGTCACGACCACAGCGGCAGGTCGGCTCGGCTGTTGGCCCGTTGGAATGATGAAATTGTGCGGATGGCACAAGCGCCCGGCAGCTCGACCCATCGACGCCCCTGGAGCCCGCCCACTCACCGCATTTCGACCAATGGCGGGCCGGTCTCAGCCCCAGACCTTGCGTCATTCTACTCCAACCAACTCACCAACATTGGCCTCATTATAGTCTCTTTTGTGTCCTCCGGAAATGCATACCTATGTGTGTATGTGTGTGTGTGTGTGTG